AGGGGCAGTGAGAGCGTTAGAGAAGCTGGCCTTTGGAAAGACGCTGATTGACCAAGGGTTTGGGCTGGGGATGGCGGGATCAGGCATTCGGGAAGGGCGTGCTGCATGTTTGGGGAGGCAAACCAAACCTCTGAGGGGTGCCAGGAGCCCTTGGCGCAGTGAGTCGTCATTTCTCACCCAGAAGCCATGTACACGTCCAGGCTCTTCACCCTCGTCCTGGTGGTGCAGCCGTCCCGCGTCCTCCTGGGCATGAAGAAGCGTGGGTTTGGAGCCGGGCTGTGGAACGGCTTCGGGGGGAAGGTGCAGCCCGGGGAGAGCATCGAGGAGGCTGCTCGCAGGTGAGGCCTGGCCCGGCTCAGCCGGCACCCGGGGGAGAGGGGGGTGTTGGGGTGCAGGGTGGGCCATGGAGGTGTTAAACCATTTGTGGTGGGCTGCAGGTGGGGTTACCACGACTCAGCCGATCAACACCACCCTCATAACCAGTGTGTTACCCGCCAGAGCAGTCTCTGAACAGAGAAAATCGACTGCTCCACTGGAGATGTGGGATCTTCCACATGTACAAAGAAACGGGATTGCTCCCCGCTGCCTGTCATCTGCAAATCTTTAACTGATGTCCAGTCATGTGTAACTGGATGGCACTGAGTATCCTCCCTCCCATCGCTCAGACTCTGATCTAAACTGAGAGTTTGCTAGTGGTGGGCAGAGGTTCTTGCATTGTTCAGAGAGGTGCAGAGTTTAATTTTGGCTATATAGCAGAATTACAACTTATGCCCGTGTACTGCTTCTGGCTTAAATTGTAAAGCTATTGAACATGTGCTACCTTCCAGTACCTTTTTTAGTACTGTGTGAAAATGCAGTGACAAAATACTTGAAAATCTCAGAGGTGTCTTATGAAAGGCGCTGTAGAAATTTATTATTTGACTGCATGGTGGCATTTTTAAGCCCTAATGCTGAGTTAGGGAATTGAATTCCATTGGTGCAGAGGTACAGTACCATTTTTGAAGCCATTAGTACTGGTTTCTTGAAGTTCATTCTTTCGTCTAGTCATTGAAATGAAATAGCAGATTGCAGCTGAGTTGCTAAACTCTAAAAATGAGATACCTTGCTCTTTACATGAATGTTTCCAATACAAAGCCAGTTTGCCACCTCCTCACTTTCTGATGTATGCCCAAAAATGCGCTCACACCTGCAGGAAGCTCAATGTTTTGAACAGCCTTTGCCCTGAACTGTTGTCTCAGCTGTGCCAGTGCAACCGCCTGGGTTCTGTGGTGAGCTAATCCAGGGGAGGAGAAGGGTCATCTATACAGATGTGCACCAAGCACATCTGCATGGGGTTAACGTCCATGATGCATACATCTCGGCTTTTCATATAATTTTTCATCTCTGAGTGGAGGGAGGGAGATCAGTATTGTTACTTAAATCAGGCTTCCATTTGCTAGGCTTACATTGCCGCTGGCCATGGTGTAAATCAAATGATTTGACTAATTCAGCATTTGACTTCATAGGTTCTTAAGTTTACCTGTGCAAGCCTGGAGTTAGAAACTGGAGCTTTAGTCCCTCCAAGATCTCAAGTCATACAAGTTTAATCAATCTCAGTGCAACATGCACAGCACAGACAGCACCTGTTGCTGTGGGCCGCGGACCAGTCCAGTCCTCAGCTCTTTTGAGGTAACTGGTAGGAGTTCACTGCAGGATGACAAACGATTCCTGCGAGGTCAACTGAGCAGAAAGCAGTTCCCAAATCCAGAGCTAGCTTGGCACAAGCACCTTCCTCAAGGGAACGACACCATCTGCAGCGCTGCCTCAGGGTGCAGCTCTCTTCCAAGCAGTGTCACAGCCCAAATCAAAGTTCACCTGCACCACCTCTGGTCTGTATTTGGAGCTGAGGTATTAGGCTGTGGTTGCACTGTCTCAGTTGAGTTTGCAGTGGTATAGGGCGTGAAGTGTCCTCACAGCACAGATAATTAAATATTAAACTGAAACATGAACAAAAGTTTCCTCTATCAGCAGGATTTCTGTACTCCACTGGGTTTATCACATTCCTGTGAGCACCTGGGCACCCACAGCTCCTCAGTGTCACATTTTATAAGGGAAGCATTTACCTAGTTCATTATTTCTAGTGTGCTACCTGTAATATTTCCCCGTACTATAAAGCCAAACCGCTGACAGATAAATTGCCTAGGAGAACCACAGCAGTGTTGTCCTTTGTTGTTCAATTATCAGAGCCTGTAAAATGAGCCTTTTAGCTTTGTTGCTGGAAAACTGCCTCTGTTTTAAGACACAGATAGTTTCTCCAGAAGATAAGCTAAAATTAGCTAAGACATTAAGTTGGGATATAATTTTGAAAGATGGAAACCACAAATTGATGCCAAAGCAAGCTGGAGCCTTAAAGATTGTTTCCATTACATCTTAAAATAGTTAAGTTATTGCCAAATATGCAACTACATTAATTATTAACCTCAACAGAAGAGACACCGTTTCAAATCATTCCTTATTTTTGCACATTAGAAAAACCATGACTTAACGTCAAGCTCTGCTGATTCTGTTAGAGGCAGGTAAAAATAAAAAAAGCCCCAAGTGTAATAAACAGAGCAAGTAATTGAATGTGCTTCAAGTAGCTGTGCATGGTGATGCATGGAAAAGAGCTGCCTGGCAAAGCTCTCAAAGTGCTCTTAAAAGTCTTGCCTTCTAGCCTCTCGTTATGCTAAATGTACTTCCAAGGAGCAGAAACTGGAAGTTTACACAATTGCTTTGTGTTTTTTATACGGCATTTGAATGGGAGACAGTGTTCCTCATGTTCTGTGTGCAAATTGTGTTACGTAGTGTGCAGCGTTATTTAAATAAGCTTCAGTGAGCCTCCGAAGGAGCTGATTGTGTAGCAAGTACAGACGTTACAGTATTTATTACCCACTTCCCAACAACTCTAAGAGCTTTAGCTTGAAGTTGGCAAAACCTTTTGCCTGTCTCAATAAAGCGTATCTCAGAGTTATTAAACCACATTCAGCTGCAGTCACATGAGTGATAGCACACTTCTAACTGATCTTAGAAAAGATCATCATGCTGCAAGGAGTGTAAATTATACTAAACCACCAATTTTTTGTGAATTTTCCCCTTCCAGCATTTCTCCTACCAGCCTTTAGGAGCTTGAGATAACACAGGAGCCAGTCTGACATAGCTCTGCCATGGTGTAAGCAGGCTGATAGTTTGGTGGGAGCCAGAACTCTGCTGTGCCCTGCTCTGTTTTACAGGTGCAGCATTCAGCTTAGGTTCACTGGAAATGTTTTGAATGTCTAAGTGAAGCTAATGACTGCCTTTTTCTTCTCCCGATGCCCATTTTCGTGTAAAAAACCATCTATTTCTTGTGCAGGGAGCTCCTGGAGGAGAGTGGACTGACTGTGGACACCTTGCAGAAGATGGGTCAGATCACATTCGAATTTGTAGGCAACTCTGAACTCATGGAAGTTCACATTTTCCGGGCAGATCACTTTCATGGAGAGCCAACAGAAAGCGAGGGTAGGTAGCCAGCAGAGGGGAAGGAAGGACATGCATTCTCCTCTGAGACAGTATTGCTCTGAAGGAATGCAGAACTGTTCATGCCAAAATCCCTTTGAAAAGGGAGGCAGGTGGGCTGCAGAGGGAAGCTGCTTGTTGGCAGATATTCAAAGCCTACACAGTAAAACACCAAAAGTCTCATGCAAAGTTCTTTTGCTTTCTCCCACCAGAAATGCGTCCCCAGTGGTTTCAGCTGGATGAGGTGCCCTTCGATCACATGTGGGCAGATGACAGCTATTGGTTCCCCCTGCTGCTTCAGAAGAAGTTGTTTCGTGGCTATTTTAAGTTCCAGGGACAAGACACGATCCTGGAGCACACCCTGAAAGAAGTGGAGGAAGTTTAAGAAAACGGAAGCATAACCCACATGTGCTGCCCACATTGGGCTGGAACACCACGAGTAGTACTTACAAGGGTCTCCTGCAAAGGAGACTGATTTGCTGGGTCACTGGGAACTAAGGAAAATAAGGGGGTTTCTTAGAGCAGAAATAAAAGTAGTGAGATTTTTCCAAGCTGTGGAGTCCCTGGCTGTGGTATGCTTTAGTGGTTATGTGGTCACAAATATTTAAAACTTAGTGATAACCCTTTTCTTTGCAGGTAGCTACTTCTTTAACTTTTCCCTTGTGGCTGGAAATTTTTTTCTAATAATAAAAATATTTTTTAGTAAAAGCACATGTTGTTCTGTTGTACACAGCTGGCTGTTTAAGGGCCTTTCAGGAGTTGGCTTCCTTTCACAGAAACATCAAGTGGACTCCGTTTCTCAGGCTAACAGCAGAAACCATTAAGCACGTGCTCTATGCCAGTTTCTATACAGTTCTCCACTCAGCATTACTTTCTGGGACAAGGTGAGGCTTGACCAGCGCTGTGAAAGCCTTTGGAAAAGTTCAGGTAAAAATCCCCTCAGGATTCTCCAGCTGCAGGCAGGATAAGGTTATGAGAGTTAAGAAACAAAGGCAGAGGTCGATGTATGACACTCTTTGAGCCTCGCTTTCACTCTTGCAGCTCCTGCCATGAACTTGAACTATTTTGAGCATTTCAGATAAAAATACATTGAACAAAATCAACTTCCAGCAAGTCCATGTTGCAAAACGCCATCACCTATGGCTGCAGGCTTTGCCACACGTCAGTAGCAGGGGATCTGCTCAGCCTGACTGGGCATGCAGCTCAGCAAAAGCTTCATCAAACTGTGCTACAAATAACACATCACATATGTAACTTCTTACACAAGTTTTGTTTTGTTTTGAACACTTTTACAAACACATATAACACTTACAGATAGAATCTTGGAATGTCATATAGGATCTGTAAACATTTCCAGTCTACCAGCTGTAGTAATAGTTCTTTAATTCCTGCATTTCGATAAAGTGCTTCATACATAAGGCTATTTGAGCAAAGCAAAGATACAGGATTATTCCAGGCAGGCAAAATTCACACCATACGAACAAGATTGTTTCTTGTCTCCCTCCAACACCTCTGAATTATTTATCCCACTCAAAAATGCCCTTCTTCATATGCTCAGTAAGCCACAGCTCAGACTTGGAGAGTGAGAGTTAACACCTTAGAACCTTTCTTTTCCTTCTGAGCTGTGCACTGAGTTACTTACAGAGTTTTTGATACTCACCTCACTTCTGCTTCTGACACAGCAGTAAGGGTTTCTGGCTGTTCTTATGCAAAGAATGGCCTGAGGCAGTAGAGGAGAGAAAATAAGCAAAGGGGATAGGTAGCTTGTAACAGGATGTAAGACCTCACTGCATGGTAGGAAAGGGAGTGACTGGCAGCCAATACCTGTTATGTTACCTTCATTTATTTCCTGGTGGAAATTGTACATTGCACAGTGAGACAGAGCAAATTACTTTCTGTTCCTCCAGGAGTTTAGGTAGGAGAACAACTGCTACCCCCTCTTCTGCAGTCTGTTCAATCCTTTCATGAAGATGCTGTCACCAGCACTGACTTTCAGCTCATGTCAAAGAGTAGTGACGTTATTGCTCCTGCTGCAGTTGTGGAGACAGATGTGTTTTAAGGAAGTTCTGTCCCCAGATGGTGATCTTTGTCTTTCAGGAAACAGCACAAATTGAAGATTGTGAATTAGCCTGTTACAAACTCCAGGAATTACACCCTTGCATGATCAAAGTAGAAGAGTAAAAGCACTGGAATGCAGCAAGGCACTGATGAAAACATGTTACAGCTTAGGAGGAGCAACTTGCAAGGAAGATGGAAGCAGAGACAAAGAAGGATCAAAGATTAAGGTTGTATTGTAAATATAGTTTAAAAAGCCTTTCAACACATGGTACTGGTTAAAAAGCCTGTATATTGCCACTTCACAGCCTGAAGCAGAGGAGACCTTAGGAGTGACAAAAACATTAGCCCTTTTGATAAAACATTTTTCAGCAGTTTCAGGTTCTCAGCCATTTACTCTCTGGAGGTACCAGAGTTGGTACCTCCACAATAGATTTCGAGAGACACACTAACAGATCGGAGGCCTTTCCTATCATCACTGTTTTGAACAGTAAAGCCCCCACGAGCTGAAGCAACACACAGAAAGCTTCCAGTCAAGAAGGCACGTTACTCTTTGGCGCTACATCTTACATGAGCATCAGTTCTTGGCTAGGCAGCATGCGCTCTTCTATTAGACTTCTGGTTTGCTTAGTGTTTATTGCAACCTACCCAGCTACCAGCAATGGAAACAACTTTATGAAGCCCCCTTCTCCCCATAACACATTGCCAGGCTGTTTGCTGCAGAAGGCGACAGCACGAAGGTAACTCGAACTGGTTCCCCTACGTGGACTCGGGTAGGCAGATGATTGATTCCCTGCTGCATTCCTCTAGGGGAAGCAAGCTGTACTTGGTGCTGCACTCCAAGTCTTGACAGATCCCTAAACAGGACAGATACAGTAAGGAAATCCCTCACATATTGAGGTAAATACAATAGTGCTATTTGCACACTGACCAGCCTCCCAAAAACAAGGTTTGCAGAGTAAGGGTTCTATGAAATAGTGTATGTGTGTGTTTAGGAATGAGACAGGAGCTTGACAGTCCAAGTACGAAATAAACTCTGAAAATGCCATTAGCTGTATCAGCTCTGAGAAGGCTAGGCCTCTGTTCTCCAAATACTATGTGAACAGAGTAAAATAAAAACAAGAAAACCCCACCCCCAAAACCGCTCTCCTCAGAGGGACAAGGGCTGACAATGGAGGAATGGGTGTTTTCTCCAAACGTCATTCCAGTTTCTTTATAGGTCATGCGGTCTGTGTTAATCATTATCACAGTCTCTGCATTTGAGCTGTAGAATCCTTGCTGCGAAGGACAACAGGAGAGAGGAGTCAGTCTAAAGCCCAAATGTGGTTTCGTTGTTTGTTTTTCTGCAGTTTTGTTTGTTTTTAATAAAGTCCAAACTAGTAACTTTTTTCTAAATGTGACGAGTGCAAAGTTCCATTCAGGCAATATCTTTCCTACAGAACAGTGCCCAGTCATCTACCCCAGCCAGACAAGTTATGTACCAGATCTTGCCCCAGAACATACAGTATTTTCTCAATTTGACTGTTAACTACATCAGACAAACAAGGCTAAAAGAGGGAGGATGACTAAGCAAATGAAAGGCCATAGCCAAGTAGCACCTTCTAGAGATGCTAGGAGTGAAGAGCACTTAAAAATATGGTAACACGCTTTCCGCACTTGAACCACAAGCTATCTTCCTAATCAAGGCAAGGTCAAGCAGAAAAACCTCTTGTGCCATTCTTGAGAAAAAAGTCTTCTTTGTCACTGTCCTGTAGCAACGTTTCCCTCCCCAGCCAGTTTGCGTTGGCCCATGAGCAGAATCTTCTGCATCACTTTGGAAATCTCCAGAAGGAATCAAATCTGTCACAGCCATTTGCAGTTCATGTGTCTCACCAGACAAGGCCGATACGCAGGAGACATTCAGAAGAGAGTTAACACTGGAATTGCTATATAAAGTTCTTCATAACACATTCTGAGCAAGATTGTTAACTAGACTCCCTACACACTCCTTGAGGTCCAGCACCCAAGAAATTCACCCAAATAAGTGCACTTCACCACATTTTCAAGGGTGTGTGTAATGGTTATGCCAGTCTCATGAAACTTGGCAAGTAACTCATTATCTTGCTCCTAGCTGAAGAAACTAACCCATCATTTCCACCTGGACTAGAAAGAGCTTCACGTTGTATTGAATTTTCTAATTTTTTTTTAAAAAGGGCAAAAATAAAAGAGCTTTTGTGATTGGAGGATTTAAATACATTTCCTTTTTGGGAAGTTCCCCAGTGGGAAAATACTGTAACGGTTCCAGTTTGACAGCAAGCACTCATCCTTGTTAATGCGCTTCCTTTTTACCCACTCAAAGAAAATCTAAGAAGCCAAGTCTCAAATTCCCCTTTGGCAGCTATTTTGGCCCCAGAGAAGTTCAGTTGAGGGGAACCCTCTTGACGTCGAGTTTTGCTGCGTACGTTTGCAGTTTCTTCACTTACCAGTTTCTCTGGAGGATATGCACCTAGGGGACGAGGGTAACACGACATGCACGTTCTCCTCCCCCTACCCTTTGCCTCATGAGGAAAGTCACCAGAGATAAAAAATGAAACATGGAGAACGTTTAGTCCCTTTATCACAATCACAAATCATTCTGAAAACCCCATTACCAAGGACCATGCTATGTTTAGAGACATAAAGAACTGCCACTTAATTGTCTTCTCTCCTTCACAAACACAATCTGCTACCCAGAGCCAGAAAAAAAAAAAGAATGACAGTAATATCCTGATAAATACTGAATTTTTGCCAATGAATCTTATCAGCATTGAGTCCCAGCCTGCTGGTGTAACAGGATACTTCATCTGATATTAGACCAAAGAAAACACCAGCTTTTGGGTCAGCAGCTCTCCAATAGTCCTAAACATCTCAACAGATGTCAGAACCTCCAAAAGAAAATAAACAAGCTACCTTGTAGCTGTTCTGCTCGCATAGTACGAGTGGTTTACAACTAAGGAGTGTTTTATTTAATTATTTTCTCATTTATGTCAGGCAAACTCCTCTGAGTTCCTGAACCCAGTCATCTTTGGCCCCAAACTGAAAAATATGAGCAAGTCCCTAGGCTGCCCTACAACCGCCAACTAAAACACAGAGTACAGCCCAGGCCCCCTGGGAAAACCACTGCCACAGAGCAGCGCTGCCTCTGACCCAGCCGGGTTGGCAAACCCAACCACTTCATTCACGTATTTTGCCCTAAGGTCTAGCAATAAGAAATTAAATCCAGACACTTGTCAACGGGTTAGGGGACGGCTTTCGGCTGTCCTTATGCCCACGTGCCTCTGACACAGGCCCTCCCAAGCTAAGCAAGCAATCCATCTCTACTCCAAGGAAGTGCTTCAGATATCCTGTTCATCTCAGCACTTCACACGTGCAGAGATGTGTCAGCATGTGTGCAGATAAACATTACTGGAGGACTGTAGTACAAGATGCAGAGGCATCAGCAACAACATTGCGACACTTGCTCCACCAGGTCACATCCTGAACCCATGAGGAGTGTGTCTGCAGGATAACCAACATTAGCTCTGCCCCAGAGCATTTCCAAATTAAGAGATTGTCTTTACATCTGTATGTTCTGGCCCACATCCAGTCTGTCTAAATCAGAGAGCAGCTCAAAGCA